TGCCAACGGCAGGGGGGTTGGACTAGATGACCTTTAGCGGTCCCTTCCAACCCAAACTATTCTATGATTCTGTGACTTGATCTGCACTGTAAAAGCCTGCCTCTTCCCTTTCCCATAGCACAGGGTCAAGTTTTACAAATGCTGAAAAGGTGTCTTCCTCCCCTGTATCCGCAGGGGTTGCAGTCTGTCAGAGGATGGTGGCATGCTGGCACAGCGTCAAGGCCTCACGAAGGAGGTGACCGAACTGACTCAGGAAGAGAAGAAACTGGATGAGCTAATCCAAAGCTGCACCCTGGACCTCAAGCTGCTAACAGAGGACTCGGAGAATCAGAGATATCCTTTTTCTCAAAACCTCAAAGGTGGTCAGTCTCCTTGCTGTGCTCTGTAATACTAAGAGAATTCCTCTAAGTAATGTCTTAAGAAGCATCAGAAATTTCCAGAAGTTGGGTAACGGGTTTTAATGTAGTTCTATATAAAAGTTACTTAAGCCACTTGCACCTGTAATGCTTCTGGAATGTCAAAAAAAAAAAAAAAAGAAAAAGGTGGGTGTATGAAGGAGCCCATTAATATCCATGTTCACATAGAGCAGAACCAAGAATTTAGCTGATTAATGAGTGACAACATCCAAAACACTGTGCTTTTTTGACTCTTGAGCCCAGAGCAAACCCCATTTTTATGTGTGCAGAAATTATAAAGGTATGCAGACAAAGCCTTTGCTAAGGTAACAAATACTTGTGTGTGTCTAGTCATTGCTTAATTTTTTTTTTTTTTTTTTTTTCATTAAACTGATGTGTATATAGATTACAGACACAGAGAGGAAAATAAAGTTGGGAGTCAGTTTAGGCTGAAACTTGCAACAAATTTTTAGCTGCTTCTGGCTAGAGAATCTAAGTTAGAATATAATAGATAAAGGTTTTATGAGCTCTCAAAATGTCTATTTTAGACTTAATTATTTAATGTAATAGCAATGCTCGAATGCATAAGGTTCATATGACTTCTGGTATTTTGGCTGCTAATACCCCTTGCAAGTAACCAGTTCTCATTTTCACTAGATTTCCCACCTATTAGCAACAGAAGAGAGCATTTTATTAAATGCTGATGTAAAAACTTTTATTACTTTCATAGTCAGTAGTTCTTAAAGAACATGTAATAAGGTGGACTTATTCTCCGTTTTGAAGGATAAGAAATTACTACAGGAGTGTGTCAGTAACAAGTCATGTGAACTATGTAAATATTGTCTTTTGATTGTGCTTGTATCAAAATGCCTATGAAAGCAAGCAAAATGAGTATGAAAGCAAGACCACCGAGTGGCATAGGGAGCAGGGTCAGCGCTGCCTTGATCCACGAAGAGATTTAAGCAAAGCAAAATTGAGCATTACAATTCTGTATTTTTCTAGTGCTGTTTGCTGTGGTAGAGATCCCTGCCCTGCAGTCGATGGGCGAGGAGGGATCAGCACTAGCAGCGTCTTGGCCTCGTGCTTTTGTATTTAGGAGAGCGTATTCCCCAAACCCTTCTGTCACTCTAAGTTTACTGATAACACTAGTGATTATTGAGGAAGGAATGTGGAAGTGTGAAACCTGGGGAGGAATCTGCGTGCATCCCAGTATAGTCTTTTGCTCACCTCACTGAAGCCTGACCTGAGGTGACCTACTGAACACTCAGGGAGCTGAGAAGCCTCTTCCTTTGCTTAATCTCTGAAGGCGAAGCTTCTGCTTTTGAAAATGTTTTTCTTTTCCCTCATGTTTAGGTAGTGCCAAAATATTGTTTGTGCCCCGGCTGTGTGCTTCCTTGTCAACCTTATAAATAGAATCAGACAGTAACTGATCGCTACCTTGAATGTTTTGGGATCTGCCCAGCATTAGCGTGGGGAGCTTTTAGCTACAGCAATGAAGATTGTTGTTTTATTTGAAAGCCTTGCAACCCTTTCCTTTGTTCATATAGCGACAGTCACTGTTGCTGTAATTTGTACTCTGCCTTTGCAAACCTTGCTAAACCTTACTCAAGGCGTGGTAGAAGCCTTGATAAAAGCCATCTGCCTGAAAGCTGACCTGTCGTTTTGCCCCCGACCTGTTACTTTGCATTTGGTCCAAGTCAGATGTGAGACGTATTGGTTTTTTGAGCTTGGGCAGTTTGTCTTGCTGTACGGTAGCAGTAGACATTTACCAAAATTGTTCACTTTTACATCCCCCAAAAGCATAATAATAAATTAGGCTTTTTACTTCTATGGCATAAGTATTATGCTAGATACCTCACGGATGACAAAACTAAAGAGCTGGAAGCACTTGCATGTAATCGCGGCTGTTTCACAGTTCGCGACCAAAAGCTCTGTGACACCTCGGTTACACAGGTCAGTAAGTGAGGCCCCACTGTGCAGTAACCCACCAAAACACTCATGATGATTTGACAAATTCATGTTGAACAGCAAAATATTTATGTTCATTCCGTGCTTATGTAGAAATCAGCTTTCTGCACTGTCAAGTTGTTTAAAGTAGTTGTTTAAGCAGTTTTTTGAAGTAATTTCATATAATATAAATGAATAAATAAATATATGAATATATAAATGTTTAAAAAACTCAAATGAAAATTGTAATTATTTTATTGATGACTTAAAAAATATATTGTGTATGCACGTCTATAACATGCGTCTGTAAATTCCTTTACATTTTTTCTGTGATTTCCAATTCTCTGCATTTTCATAGCAAGGGTGTAAAAAAAAAAAAAAAAAAAAATTTTGCTTTGCGCAGTCTGTGAGTAATTGCGGGTTGTTGAGCTTTAGCTTATGTAGCTTTACGCGTGTAAAGGAGAAGGACTCAGCACGAAGAATGCCTTTTGTCACTCGGTGGTGACCTCAGCTGTTAGATCAAAGGGAAATTCTCACACAGTTTCACTGCAATCACAACCAGTGTAGAGAATAGGAAACTTTAGGCTAAGAGCAACGTAGCCATGGAAAATGGAAAAATAATTGAAAGAATTCTGCATCTTCTAATAGTCTGAATATATTATAACCTGCGTTGGAAAATTCCTTAACAGTGATTACATTAGCTTATGTGACGTATCAAGATATTCGAAAAATTAGTGGCCTTAAAGACCAAACTGTTATAGTTGTGAAAGCTCCTCCGGAAACAAGACTCGAAGTGCCTGACCCAGTGGAGGTAAGGAGAACCTGGCTTTTCCTGCCAGGTTATACATCATTTCTCTATAGATGGAGCAAGTGTGTTGTGAGTCTTAACTGTGGTAACTGATGCCCAAGTTGGATTATAGTGGCATGCAATCCTATATTCATCTGTCTTACAAACTTTGGAGGTGTTTTTTTAAAAAAGGAAGGGGAATCTTTAAAAATCATTTTACACAAAGCAATCCTTATTTCTTCCTTTTCTCTAAAGTCCAGCTTTCCTTCAAAGTAATCCACACTATTTACAGATTGTTCTCTTCTGCCATACTTCATGTAAAGAAGAGCTCTTCCTTGACAGTTGAAATTCTGTAACCATGTAAAATCTTTCTCTTAAGAGATTCAGCTCCCTTTTTTTTTTTTTTTTTTTTTTAAGCTTTATGTAGTTTTAGTTATAAAGTTCATGGATAACTCAATGCCTTAAGCATCTTGAGGACTCATATTACTGGTATCCTAATTTATTGAGAAGTATGTTTTCATGTAGGATTTTCTTTTCTGAAGTATTACAGTTACTGAGTTACTGTAGAAACTTGTGTTTTATTCCTAGAATCCATTCTTGCCCTTCCTTCTTCCATCATCATCTTTGCTTCATTGACAGTGATTTTACACATCTCTGTAAAACGTTGTCCATTTTGCTAGTGCACTTTTTGTTTGCCATCGTGAAGTCTGTAGGGGATGGGGATTTCCTTTCCTATTTTGTTATAGGTACTTCTGTTTCTGAAGCTGTCTGTGTTCATCTGTGTCCCTCTTCTGTTGCCCCTTGCTGCTCAAGCCACAGTCTCTCTCTATCTCTGAGTGCCAGTTTTTGTATGTGAGATACCTGGCTCTCATTCTTTCGTCCTCATTTTGTTTCTTTTCCTTATCTCAGGTAGATGTCTAGGGTAACATAGCTGCTTCTCCCTTCCCTTACCTGATGTCACAGTTGCAGAGAAAAATGCTTCGGGTGGCTTTCCTTTGAAGATATCCTCAGGGAGTAGCTTTACTTTTCTTCATTCCTCTCACGGTTTATGAACCACGTGGTTCAGCTGTTCCTAGGATTTTATCTCTTGGTGGCAAAAATGAGCTGCTTTTCAATTCCCAGTTGTTATGACGGACCCAAGTACGTTGGACAAACGTAAATAATTTGCACGAGCAATCGCTTTAGAGATTCAGAAATGTACCTAATTTCTTCTCTCAAGGAGCATTTAGACATAGGGCTAAACCCCAGAAACCTCCGTGCTGTGTTCATACCTCTACGTTATTCCTTCATCCCTATTGTTGGGCTGGTTCCACTGAGCCCAGGGCCACCTGCTGCGGGGCAGGCAGGAACAGACTCCAGATTCCCTGTCACTTCTTTTCCGAAGATTATCCTCCACTTGCTTAGGCCCATTACAGTTTCCATCCTTTTTTTTTCCCTGCCTTGGTCCTTAATTTCCCCTTTGAACCTAGGTGCAGGTTTTGGAAGAATAAATCATTTTGCTGCAGTGAGGAAGGGATATCTTTTGTCAGTATCCATAAATATATACTGTTATTGTTGCTTGCTTTCCTGTTTCTTTCCCCTAGGCATTACGCTTTGATTTTTAATTCAGTGAAATCAGGCAGGTAGAGAGAGATGCACGCAATCGTTATAACTAGCGCCTAGACCTCCCTTATCCCCTCTACCCAACTTACTCATTTAATTTTCAGCTTCAGGCAGTAGAAGTCCTATTTCTTTCTCTCATTTGCAGTTACATTTCAGTGTCTTTCTTTGCATACCTCAGTCACTCAACAGTACCTTCCCCAACTCCTGCTCTTCCCATCTCCTCTTTTCTAATTATCTATAGCATTGCCCTAAGTACTCTTAACTGTTTTCTGCGCCCTGGGGTATCCCTGTCCGGTTGTTGTTCTCTGTATTTGTAAATGCTGTCTATTGTGCTACGTAACTGTCAGAACACAAATAATATGAGGAACGTTTTGTCAAAGGACACAACAAAATGTATTTGAAAGAAGTCTGCAAAGAGGTATATAATGCCTGTATTCATGCTTTTTAAAGCTATTAATGCAATACAGCTGGAGCAGGTTTATTTTTAACTGGAGTCATTTATGATTTTCTGTCATAACACTAAGAGCAACTTTGCAGATTTTCTGTCTATATATGTCATCTTGTATTGCATCAGTGTGTGAAAATTAAGAAAAGATAATTTCTTGAGATGAATTAGGAGTTCCTGTTATTCAGAAATACTATCAAAATCAGAGTTGCTGTCTTGAGGGGGCAGAAGGACTTATATATGTCTTATATAAGTTTGGGTGAAGAAAATGTAATCTCTTTTTTTCTTTTCTGGTTATTTGGAAAAACATCCCTGATAAACAGGGGAACTTCCATGCAGCTATTTGAGTTCAGTGTGAATTAGTGCTGAAGGTTTTTGGGTGGGTGAGAAGGATGTTTTGGCATTCTTTTAAAGCAGAAACATTTACACAAATACATCCAATAACATTGTTATGAATAATAACAAAACCTGTGACTTGCATCCCATAGTTCCATTAAATCAGAATGCTCCAGGTTGTTATGGTTGTAAGAAAATGTTAGGAGTTCAATCCTTTATACCTCTCTGGTTATGATACAACACATAAAATCGTGGGCTTCTGAGATGCCTGCACTGCAGACAGTGGGAAAAGCTTTTATGTTCTTTTCAGGTCTATGAGATACATCAGCCAAGCCTTTCACATCTTCAGAAAAATGCATGGGGGATTTCAGGTTCTTTTGATTAGGAAAAACTGTATTCAAACACTCACACCCCAATAAGAATTTACTCCGTATCGTCAATATTCTGTTGCGTTCATTGGTATAACACCTTACTGACGTTTGTTTTGTTAGCAGAGTGCATTGATACATTTATCTAGTACTCAAGGACCTATTGAAGTTTATCTGTGCCCAGAGGAAAACGATGCCCTCAGTCCAATGAAAACCTATAGTCAGGACCACAACGGAAATATTTCCAAAACCATTTCCAAAGGTAAAAATATTTCTTTGTAATACTAATGGTCATTTCTTCGTGCTCTCATGCAAGATTTCATTCTGAACTTCAGATATCCAGCTCTTATTTTTTGGCTTTCTTTTTCTAAGAAGTGAAAAGCTAAGGTATCCATTTTCCACTGTGCCTTTCTGGTTTATATAGGGGAAAATATGTTTTCTTCTGCATCAGTTGTTTAAAATGAGTTTGATATTTGCATATCATATGGAACTATGTAACCTAAGTTTATGCAATATTGAAGAAAGAAACAATTTTGTTCCTTTTGGGTTTTCAAATAGGACAGTAGCAGCAAAGATTCGCTTCAACACAAGAGGCAGAAATCTCTGTAGATTCGCTTCAACACAAGAGGCAAAAATCTCTGTGTATGGGTATATGCAGCTACGCAGTGTCACTGATGACATCTGTTGCCTAGGTGGTTTTCACTTTGACTATGAATTCCACCGAAAAATGGGCATCTCTCACTACACTTGATTTCCGCGTCCCGTCCCGCCCCCCCCCCCCCCCGTAGTTGTTTAAACCTTGTAAAATAATTTTTTAGTAGAAAAGCCAGTGGCGATAGCAACGTGTATTTTTGAGCAGCCCTTTGTAACATACCAAAAACAAGCTAGAAATTACATGGAGGCCATTTTTTGTTGAAATGATGCTTTATGAAAGGCCCTTTATGCAGTGGTTACTTTGTTTGATCTGTGTCTAATATTTCTAATGAGATTAAATGTGTCATCTTTTATTTTTTTCTCTCCCTCCTCCTACAGAAGTGGCTTCTACTAACTCAGGACAAGGTGACTGCTCAGTAAATATGGCAACAATCTCTCCATTGGCTTCTCCAGCCAACCTTCTCCAGCAGACCGAGGACCAAATTCCCTCAAACTTTGAAGGACCATTTGTGAATTTGCTGCCTCCTCTGCTTCAGGAAGATTATTTGCTGAGCCTTGGGGATGAAGAAGGCATCAGTGACCTCTTTGATGCTTACGATTTAGAGAAGCTTCCTTCATTGGTGGATGAATTTATATACAGCTGATTCTCTTAAATGCTGTCCGTATCTAAATCATGTTTTTAATGGAATCAAAAAACCTGCCAGAGTTGTCCCCTACTTACTATAAAATAGCATTATTAAATAAACTAGGCTCTCGAACAGTGCTGATATTTTAATTGAATACTCCCTAAAATACTGTAAACAAGTGAAGGCTTTTACAGCAAGGCCTTCTCCTTGACCCTGAGCTCCAGCGCCTTGTGAGTCAGCAAGTGCAAGCAGGTGACCATAAATGTTTTGTCTTCGCACTCCCCCAGTCTCTGCTTACCGTGACAAGTGGGCTTACGGAGAAGGGCTCAATGAACTGGGTTAGTCCTAAATAACAATTTTATAATAGTATTTCAGGTCGTGCCTTCTGCAGAGAATGCATGTCTCTTGAGTGTCACAACATGGATTGTACCTGCAGTGAACATAAATATGAAGTAATGCAAAAGCGTGAAATGGGATTCTTCAGCTACTTGTGGGAATGTTTAAATTGCTGTCATAATGCTCATTTTGAGCTGTGTATGTGTCTCATTATGAGGTCAAATACTTATGTCCTTAAAAGCTTTTAATAAAAAAATACACTGTAAATATAGTGTATATTGCAAATATTGAAAAGTATAAAGTTCTGCCACTTCTTGTAGTAATCACAGATTTAAAAAAAAAAAGCTTGTGTGTGTGTGTGTGAACATAGGTTTTTGTTTGGTTGTTTTTTTTAAACTAGAACGAAGATGCACAGTTCAATTTTACTGCCCCCAGTGTGCATTAGAACTGGTACATAAATTTTTGTGGTACTAAGTGGGGCTTTGTGTTAAGTGCCTACTAGAGATGCACTGTGGGTTTTTCCCTCTATGGAAAACACTTATGCCAAGCTTTGTTTGTTCAATATATCATATTTATCTCAGTGGGTTAGCTTCCTCTGCTTACAGCTTTTTATAATTCTCTTCGCCAGCAAAATGGAACTAATTTTTTTCCGAAGTACATAACTGTAAGTACCACATCAACTGAATTGCATTTATTTTTTTGAAGACCTTTGGTAGTATAGTATAGTACCAATATTTATTTTTTGAACGTGAGAGGAATTCTAAGAAGTCTTAAATAATTTTTTTTTGAGTGTAAAATACGTTGCCATGTTCTGGGCTAAATTAATGTAATGTTGATTAGATGAAGCCCATATAATCCTTTTGTTTGCATTACTGTTGTGCTTATCTGACATACTCAGAAAATTAGTACGATTTGTACTGTAGTAGAATATTACGTATGCAGGTTTTCTGGTACCATTGAGTTGCTGCTATGAAAGCTCACACACGAAAAGGCAAGAAGTCACAGTACTAATAAGAAAACTGTATGACTGTGTGAGTTTTGGAATATAACAGATGTATAAAGGGCAACACATAAAGAACTGTTAAACAGTGTTAAGTGTGTGTTTATATGTACAAATGTGTGCATAGATCATTCAGCAGTTGTATTTAAGTTGATATATGTTCTCAACTCACACTTTAGTTATCTAGCAGTTTTGTACAATAGAATTAATTTGTAAACACTGCCAGAATATTTTCTAGCTGGTTTGTAATTTTTTAAGAGTTTTTTTAGATGTGGATCTGTACATAAAATTGTAGTATTTAAAGTTTTCGTCTTGTGGAAGAGGAAGGTAAAAGTTGTGTGAGCATGAAGATTTGCGAGACAAAGGGGCACTTTTGCGGGGGAAGAGAAAATGAAGACTAACGCAGACATCTTTTTTGTACAAATTAAACACTTGTCCCAATGTGTGTGGGCAAAATACTAATCTAATTTAGCTTTGCATTGTATGCTAGTTTAAAAAAAAAACCTCTGTAAAATACTGTAAAAAAAAAAAACAAACAAAACCAACAAAAAAAGCTTTTATGGTGAGTTTTGTAAATAGATTTATTAAAGGATGACCTGTTCTCTAGCTGTGATTTTACCACTTCAAATGGATGTAATTTGAATAAATTTTGTATGGTAATGAATCAATAAAAAGTTTTTTAAAGGATGACCTGTTCTCTAGCTGTGATCTTACCACTTCAAATGGATGTAATTTGAATATTTTGTATGTGGTAATGAATCAATAAAAAGCATTTTTTAAAGAGGATTTAAATACAGCTATTTAAATTCTTCTTACTCTTGGTGCCTATCATGCTGCTTCTTGGAACCTAGCTGTTACTATTTTCATTATTAGTGCTCACACTCATTTGACACCAGATATGTTTCGATCCCATTTTTTTTATTATGCTAACAGTAAGTTCAGTGTTTTTTTGTTTTGTTTTTGTTTTTTTTTTTAAGCCAGAGTGAAACAAGAGTAAAAGACACATGTAAAGAGACATAGTAGGAGATCCAGAGGTGGGGATAACACAGGTTTCTTTTTATTTATCCCCCTCCCCCCATATGAATTATGAACAGACTTCTTGCAAACTTCCTAGAAATTGGGTTATTCTAGGCTTAAATGACATGAAAGCAGTTGTCGAGGATCTGATAATTCTCCAGAAGTCTCCTAATAGTAGCTTTGAAAAGGAGTTTACTTGAGTCATCTCCAACAGTCTCTTGCACCAAACATGCATTTACGAACTTGTACTCCCTTTCTGGTCTTGGTGCTGCACCTCTCCAGATGCATGGTCATCAATTACTAAAAGAAAAGAAAACTATCAGGATAATAAAATCATAGTAATATGGTTGTTTGCTTAAATGTTACACTTCTGTGTCTTGTCATCTTCCCTGCACACAAGGAGAAGGCTACTATTTTATCTTTTTATGCACCTGTCTATACTCTAACTTCTGCACACAGCAGTACTGAAAGGAAGATTACAGAGAAGATCCTCTGATCTTCTACATTCCCAATAAATAATAAAGGAGGGCTAGAGGACTGTGTTCTCGGATCTCCCTTTGAAGCAAACATGACAATAAATGTTGTCTTTCTCTCCTAACTGTCATAGCTCCCTGACCTGTTCTCAGTTTCTCTGTTCTACGGCTGCCATAAGCACTTTTTCATTCGCCCCTAGAATCTGCTACCGATTGCCAGTTTTCATGTAATTTTCTCTTCTCTTCCTTCTGCTTTCTGTATCTGCTTTGTAAACTTTGGATGTGCTGAGTTGCAGGAGAAAAAAACGAGCCAGTTAAAATACTTAATTCTGCTCCCCTGAGCTAGCACAGTGTACCTCAACGTTTTTCAGCATACAAATACTAGTTTCAGGGAGGTTTTATTGGGGCCCGTATGTGCTGCATTCCTTGGCTGCCAGCAGATGGAAAAGGATTCTGAGAAATCTGTCAAAACCGGCCTGCATGATAGGCAACTACACACAGGAGAGGAGTTTAAAAAAAGGAAAAAAATAGGGGGGTTCCTGCCCTTGAACCTACAGTGAGAACTCATCCACCTACAAATGACAGACACCATCACTTTCTATTCTTTTTGACTTACACCTGAAAGAGTAAATTACACCGTCTTGATGCAGACATGGATGTTTTTGTTGTAGAAAGTAAGTAGGAAAGAGATGTAAGAAACTTTTTGTAGCATGAGACATTGCTACATGTTTAGAAGCACCAAATTTAGCAGTATATGCCATTTTTTTCTCTACGTAACACAGTTAATGCACAATGCCATTAGTGTTCCTGGAGCCAGCAATTCTCAAGATTAAGTGAAGTAAGAGCCTGTATAGCAAAGTCAATGGAGTGATATTAACAAAAGCATAATAAACAAACAGAATTCATCTCCCTATTTTGCTTTTCTTGCTGAAGCAAGATCTGCCTGGCTGTTACTCTACAGCTAAGCAAAGATCAGCAGAATGCTTTGCCTTTATTAAGTTTGGGAGTTTCTTTATCCACTTTTTTCTTTCTAAAACTTGACAGGGACAAAGTGTAATATCTAACAGAAAAAACGGGTTGCTATCAATTCTGAGTGGCGCTGAATGTTGCTGACAAGTGACCAGCCAGATTCTCCTAAATTGCAGGAATAGAGGAAGAAATCTAATTTCTTCTATCTAACTTCAGGACTCTCCAGTTTTTTCCTGCATGCCTTCCTACTTACTTTTCCACCCAGAACTGCATGTTAGTTATCAGAGAATACGGTTGTCATGTAAAAATTGGGCCGTCACTTCCCTGGCTGTTTCCCTTCCCTAAGGATGTTTGTTGAGATGCTCTAAAACAACTAAGGATGTATCTTCTAATAACCATGAGCTAAATTTGAGATTTGTATTTTATTTTCCTAGTAGTTTTTGTATTTTCCAACTACCTACTCCTGCAAAACCTGTAATGACTTAAGATGGTGAGCCAGCCTGAGGCTGGTGTCTTCAAGTCTACCACCCCTGAAGAGTAGGAGGTACGGTATGTGGGCGACTTGGAAAGGAAGTATTCTAAAGCTGTTCTTTGGACAGTCAAGGAACTGGAGCACGTATATTGCCAGTCTATAGAAGGCCAGTACTGGGACTTGTACTGCCAGACACTGCCTCTTAAAAAGTGGCTTTCCCAGCTGAGTATAGATAAGCTTTCTTCCTGCGGTCAGGAGGTGGCAAGGAATCATCTGCTTCCCTTGCTACCTGCTGCACTACCAGCAGTCTGTGTGCAGCTTTATTTGTTATTACGAATTTGCTACAAAGCACTTTAGATTTGTGAGCTTCAAAAGCACTTAAAGGGTGCCTTCCACGTTGTGGCTACATCCTAGGAATGAATAGGACTGTGCTGGCACAAAAGCTGCTTGATATTACGAATTCTTGGCAGTGGGACAAAGTAAGGACTCTGCCGGATCATGCTGAAACTGATCAGCGTGGCCTATTTATGTCACTAGGTATGGGACTCATGGGTTATTCCTGCCTGGGAGCTGCTCTTGGAGCTCGCTGCCTCCCCTTAATGAGTAGTGTTTTGTCAATCTTGGCCATCTGGAGATTTCTGGATAGGTCTTGCAGGCTATCTGTGCTTTGCTCTTTTAGTCAACCATAAAACAGCACTGATGTCTGCCCAGTTTTGTTTAACCAGAGAGGGAACACTTGGCTAGTCAAGATAACTGTGGGGTAGTGCACTGCAGTGCTCCCAGAATAGAGAAGTTTACTTCAAGGATTGCATGTGAAATACTTAGAAAACTGACTATGGGAAACTGAAAAAGAAAAAGGAAGAGAATCGCTAACCTTATCAGGAAGCAGTTAAAATACTGATTGGTTATATATATATATATATCATTACTTACTGACATACTAAGGATTACTTACACCCTACTATGAAGGCGGATGCCTGAAATAGATGAATGTGACTACTGATTTTAAAGTGTTTTCCTCCATTCTCTTCTGGGCTAAAAATGCTGCAAAAATAATAAATTACACATCACTCAGTGTCTCACAGAGAGTATCTCTGAAAAGTACTTGGGTGCTTCAACAAAGACCAATCACAAAGGCAAATGTATCTTAAGCTGTAACAATGACTCTATCATGAGGCCAGGGCGATATTAATAGTGCTCAGTCCTGCCTAGAATGATTTGTTCTTAAAGACTGATTTAAATGAAGTGCTTGTTTCTTTCTGTCCCAATTCTCCTCTTCAAACCTCTCCTGTTACTTTGTTCTCATTGTTATCCTTTTTTTGCCTGTGAACATTGTCAGATAAGTGTGACATAAAATAAGCACCAGTTTTTAAGAAAAAGGAGAGGGAGGGCAAGTGATATTCATAGGTAGAAGTTGCCAAGTTTTATCTGCTAGCAGACCAATAGGCCTATTATGGAATACACTCAGGGCTTTCATTCACTTTCCCTCCAGTTCGAGGGAGACTATAATCTGCTATCTGGAGAATAAAATAATAATTCCAAAGGCTCCTTCTAAAGAGAGTAACTTAACGTTCAAAATGCCATTACAAGAAATGGTGATTTTTATATTCTAAAACTGGCTACCTCAAAATAAATATGTTAAAGATGCAATATAAATAATCATTTTAGGTTAACTGTGTGTATTAAAAACAAAGCAATAATATTATGTACACCCTCTATAACACTTCGATCAACAAGGAAACTATACACTTAACAATCTGTCTGCTTAGAGCCCTAGCTTTAGCCATCCAAGTTTAAACACCCAGACTAATGTATTCCAAAATATTAATTAGAAAAGTTGCTACTAGTCCTAAATAGGAGGAAAACAACGCCAGAAACCTTAGCCACCTAATACTAAATATTTTGACCAATGTCTTCCAGACTAAACAGAAAAGTTGCTACTAGCATTGTATTTTGAGGAAATTAATGATTAAAAATAAAAAAGTGTTGTGGCCATAACAGGAATAAATAGCTCATCATTCATTTGGATCAGATACATCAGAATCCAACTGTTTTAACTGGATATGTATTGCTGGACCTAATTTTCAATTAAAATAAAGGTGAGTCTCCAAGGATTCGGGAAACTGGAGCAGAGGACATGTGGCCTTGGTGCTCAGCAGATGCCCTGGCACTAGTTATTTGCACTTCAAACACAGCCACAGTGCGCTGCTGGAGGAAATTCCATTTTCAACTCTACGACTTCACCTTCAGTCTCACAGTATCTGATGCTTCCAGTACAACAGCAGCAGCAGCCTGGCAATTCGATGCCATGCAGATCCCAGCTCCCACGTCATTACAGCCACGCTTCTGGAGCACAGCCTCAAAAAGTGACTCGAGCGCTCTGGCCAAAGCAGCAGGACTCTGCCCAGGGGTGCTGACAGACCGATCGGCCATCCTCTTATTTCTGAGGGTGGCGAGGATGGGGAGCCCGCAGCTGTTTTCAACCACCGCCATCTGAAGAGACAACCCCAGATGACCTCCCTCACGGCTCTGGGCTCCGTGGCCAGCAGCATGGTGGCCACCCCAGCCTGGCCCATTACGGCTTCCATGGGATGAATCATAGAATTGTTTAGGTTGGAAAAGACCTTTAAGATCATCGAATCCAACAATTAACCTAGCACTGCCAAGTCCACCACTAAACCATGTCCCCAAGTGCTACATCTACACGTCTTTTAAATACCTCCAGGGATGGGGACTCAACCACCTCCCTGGGC